CATCGATATCATGACTAATGCAAATCTTATTACAAATCAGACAAATACAATAGCAATTCGTTGTGATTGGTTTAACCCAGACGCACACTGGGATCCAACACATGTGAACAATGTAGAAAGGATAATGTTTTTTCACTCTGGGTTCAGTGAATATAAAACACTAATTTAAATTGAATATCCCTTTTAAGATTCAATATTGAAGTCTAGACATTAAGGTGAAATCACGTACCAGTATACTTCACTTTTGTTGAATGCTATGTGGTTAATTATATCACACTTTGCTCACTTACAGGACAAAAGTTATCGAGAGCTGTAGACCTAGTAACTGAAAGATTCGACTCACAGAAATGGAAATTACTGGCACAATTTCTCGGAATACAAACAGAAGCAATTGATAGAGAGCGTATCTCCGTGAAAGACAAGTTACGTACAATGGTGCAGGCATGGAGTGAGAAGCACCAGGCACCAGCTCTTATCCCGATGATGAAAGACAAGTTAGTTCAAGCATTGAGGGTTGTCGGTGATGCCCAGTTAGCAAATGACATTGAGCATATCAGTGTTCAAAATTGGACACTGTAAAAGTGCCTGTTTTGAAAATTTGCATGAATGGACTGTTTGAGAAAATGAACACTTTTTGAAGTCACTATAATGTTGTTAAAGGAGGTCGGTTTTCTGAATGCCCTAAGCTTTTTAAGTGGGGGAAGGGCGGATTCGAGGGAAAGATGACGAATTTAAAGAAAATATAGCCAAAGTAATGCAATGACAAAGACGGTATGCATACTGAGAGGAGGGAGGGATTACCAATGTTTGTTGTTGAGCTTATTTGGGCTTGGAGTGTCCAGCACATTGTTAAATTCATCTGGTTTCTGATGATCTCCAGCTTGGAAAATATTAAGCACAGGCCAGAGTTGGACGTGGTTGCTATCATGATCTTTACTAAAATTTTCCGCAATATGCTATCAATCATGAGCTCCTGATTCATGAATCGTCTTAATTCAGTATCCATGACAACTTATTATGTTAATTTACATTTTATTCAATGGACAACATCAATAACATCAGAGGTTCCGAAGATTCTAATCTGCGACCTTTGCTTTTAAATATATTTATAAATGATATATTGATTAATTATTTGAAATGAACAATTTAGAAATATTAATGATCACCAAGATTATTTTATTGTTTTACACCTCGATCCTTTTTGGCCCAATATGTAAGCAAGAGTATTGGAAATGTTGTATTTTAATTTGATAAGGTCGAAATTATATTATGTTTTGCTTGTTTGGAATAGTATTAATAGGAACCAGATATTAAGATAAGGAAATTTCAACATGAATTGTTATTTTTTTACATAAGCAACTGACAGGTGTTTTTTTTTATTAATGACTTTGTATTTTAAAGTATTATTCACAATGTCAAGATGAATATGTACTAATGATTTATTCAATGATAGCATGCTGACTCTAACGAAAATCACAAAATGGATTACCGACAGTGTCATAGAAACTTCACCTGCTGTTTAATCCAAATGTTTTAATTATTGTGAAATAAATTTTAAGTGAAAAGTACATTTAGAAAACAGAGCCTTTGGTGTGTGAATGAAAAGCACACATGTTTGAATACTTTGCAAAAGCCCATTGCACATGTTTATTTTTAGAATGCTGATAAATTCACTAGATTGTGTTGTCAGCAGTATTGGAGATACACAC